CAGGTGCTGAGGGGTTGCCGGGCGGAGGCAGCGATGAGAGGAGGCAGCCGGCCGGCCCTGCGGGGCTCCCCGGCCTGCTGGCGCCCGGCAGTGACTGTAGCCTGCTCTGGGGGCAGCAGGGGCGACACTTGCACAGGCACGTGGTGCTGCCATTCCTGCCTCACCCCCCAGGGAGGCCTGTGCAGAGAATCTCCTCTCCCTGAAGCCGGGGCGCTGCTCGGAGTCAGAGCTCCTTGGGATCGCCCAGCATGCCCGCCAAGGGTGACATGCCTCAGGAGCCGAGGCTGCCGCCAGAGACCCAGCGCGGTGGATAACCAGCTCAGGCTGCAAACTGCGGCCAAGGGTTGTGACTGCAGAGATTTAGCAGGCCTTACAGGCTAAGCAGATCAGTAGCTGAAGTAAAGACAAGAGAAATCAATGGGCAAAGTTAAGCATATGCAAAATTCAAGAATTTAAGCTATTCTAAATGAAGGTCTCAAGGGAAAGCCAGCTTTGCACTGTTCACGATTACCCTCTTGGTTTTGTTAAGTGTGAAATACCACTTATTAGTAACAGTAGTCGGTTCCTTTCCCCTCTTTTCATCTTGGATTTTACATGGCTTCTAGGCAACTGACAGGCTTGTTTGTTTAGAAACTCATACGTTTTATACAAAGTTTCAACCTTAGGAAAGTATCTGTGGTGAAAGCATAAATCTCAGCTGGGAGAAAGAAGGGGAAAAAAGGCCAATGAGCAAGCAATTAAATAACTCCCAAATACTCGTTTTCTGATTTTAATGTCATCCATTAGAAAAAGTCCACGCCACAAGAGCAATGCACAAGCTGGATCCCGCTCAGACCATCAAAATGACAGTGAATATTTGAGCAAACTACACAGAGATGTTTGCAAGGACTCAGGGTGGAGGGAAGAGGGCCCTGAAGTAAGTCCCATGCCCACAGTATTCATCTTTCTTATGCTACATCTCTGATAGTTTTCAGTGTTTGCATACTTAGCATGCAATGTGTCACATATCGGATTAAAATTCATCTCTATTTGCATGGATCATACCTGCTTAGCATAAAAAGAGCGACTCTCTAGTGTAAAATCACACCTGTGATGCAATAGCTTTTACTTAACCAGTGTTACAAGCACCTTCTAGAATAACTAAAAGCACAGAGGAAAAAATACTTCCTTTGTTTATTTTTATTTTGTTTATTTCATCATCTGGAGACCTTTGCAAAATAGTCAGCATTTCCCTTTACACTAGATTTTCCCTGTTTGTTTCTGGTTAAGTAATCAAGGAGGGGAAGGCACACACAAAAAAGAAAAAAAAAAAAAAAAAAAAAAAAAAAAAAGTAGATAAGGGAACAAAGCCTGTAATTTGTCCAAGGGAGCCAGGAGTCTCTTGCTTAAACTAATTACTAACTGGCTACATGGAGAACTTTCAAGGCTGCTCCTTTATAAATGGATAAAATTTTAAGACACCAGAGTAATCCCATTTTGTTTGTTCCCCTGTGCTCCACTGTGCACGGGTCTCTCTGGAGACTGCTGCCTCTGCTGATTTCTCCCAAAGAGCCCAGGTTTCATGGTACCATGGGTCTTCCTCAACTGGGGACAATCAGGCTGGAGCACACGTCTTGCTGCTGACTAAGGGCTGCCCTAGGTGTGCCCATGGCAAGGTTGGACCTTCGCCAGAAGAACATGTAGCTCACTATTTTCCTGATGGGTTAGATCACCCACAGAGAACGTCTGAAGATATCCACAGATTCCAAAACCTGCAGCTCATCCTGATTTCCAAAACATGTCTCTCTTCTCCCAAGCAGTTGAACAGCAGTCCAGTGTCAAGAACCACATGGGCAAGCGTGTGGTCTCCGGAATGTTGAGTTAATACAAGTTATTATTCATTAGTGTTATCTCCACAAAGGCAGAGAGGGTGGCAGCTTTTACCTGCCCTGTGAACCCTCTTCCAGCAGGTGTTTTCCCCCAAAGTCCCTCACCAGGTGCTGTTGGTGGCCAGCCACCTGCTCCAATGGACCATGTCACAGACTTTTTACCAGGGCTGTGCAGAGATAGTGATGCTTTATCCCTAGTCAGTCCTGCCTGCTGTCAGAGCTTTTCACTGATATGGCAGTGTGAGGAGAGGAGGACAGCTAGTCACAGAGCACCCCACCGCAGGGAAACTGCCTCATGGGCCACAAGTCTATGCCCCAGCCGTCTGGGCCAAAGAACTGTTGTGGATAGGAAAAAATCCTTCTATGTGGCCACTGATGTCTCTGTGTTGCTCTGGAATCAATGAACTCTTCTGTGTATTTTCTTTTTTGGCCAATCCCATGTTAGGGAAGAGCTTTTCAGAGGGGCTCAGCTGGGGATTAGCTGACTGAGGAGAGGTCCTGCCACCTTCCATGGAAGCAGTATGGCTGTGTGGTGTCCTCTCAGCAGCAAATCCAGCATGTAGCTCACTACCAACACACTTCACCAGGCTACCTCCTTTGTTTCTCACAGCTTACAAGCTGTTGGGCTGCCCTTGCCCCCCAGATCCACCCTGGTTACATGAGCTGCTCTGCCAGGCTCCTGCGTGTCTCTACAGGTGACATTCAGATCAGGCAGTGGTCTAAAAAAAATTCCTGCTGCAAGTTCAATATACTTTTTCTGCCTGTGTCAAGCCTTTTAAACTCATGTAGCTGAGTGCAAGGCTCACTCATATTGTATCCCTCTGCATACCTTATAATGACCACTGCTTGAGGAAAGGTAGACACATCTTGGTGCTCAAATTCATTTCAGAAAATGACAGAGTGCTCTACTCTTCTCCCTCTGAAGGTTTTTCAGGGTTTTTTTTATAAAAGCAGGGCTTATTTGAGGGCAAATTAAAAATAGCCTTGAAAGTAACTCTGAGCTTTAATCTCCCATGTGACATTGCATCATACATGATGAGAAGGAAATACCTCCAGGCTCTAAATAAACCTATTATCATTTAATCTCTAATGGCTTATTTTGAAATCCAAACAGAATATATCTTTCGTGCACTTGCACAGCATAGAAGATCACTCTGGGTTTCCAAGCCTTAACAGAGGCTTAGAAAAACATCAAAGAGGAAACAAGCAACCAGGAGCAGGCTGGTGAAGAGCAGCAGGCTAAACTGCCATGATAGAAAGCTGTGATGGTGTGGCAGCATCAGCCGGGCATTGGATGAGGACACTCCAGCTCAACAGGGACAACAGCTCAGGCTTCTGCCAGCTCCTTCTTTCCACAAAAATACACCTGCAGCAGGGTGATGCCTTTCCCAGAGGATGCAATCATCCCTGTGGTGTCCCATCTGCCCCAGGAAGGTGAGGGGGACAGGGGATAGCTCTGCACAGGCCATATCCCCTTGCTCCCCTTGGCTGCCACTGGAATATTCAAGGCACCAGTTCCCCTTTTCCCACCACCACTTCTATGCCACCTGCTTTCCTGTACCACCCTGGCACTTGAGGTGCTTCAAGTTTTTATTTACTATACTGTAACTTAAAAGGAAGCTTTATTTTTCTTCATATGTAACAATGTCTTTTTTACTGAGCTGGAAATGCATAAATACTGCCTACGTTTTTCCTAAGAAACATGTACTTTCCTAAAGGAAAAAAAAAAAAAAAAGCACTAGCCTAACAGTCACTTCCAAACAAAGGTTTATATCATTTACTGGCATTTCAAAGAGGCAGCCTCCCTGGTCCAAATGAGTGTGCATGTGATACCCAACACAAAGTCAAGACAAAACAGGAAGTAAAGATTGCCTTCTTCTGGCTTTCAATTTTTGTATTCACCTAAAGCATATTCTGCACCAAATGTGAAAGACCTTGACTTGTTCAGCCTGTGCAATGCATCTAATTTGAAACAGACTTGTATCAGCCTTTGACTTCTCCTGTGCATGGCTTCCCCGTATTAATGAGGACAGAAAACACAGATACGCTGTCACATACAGGCAGCTGCGTAACACAGGAAGAACACAACTACAGGTGTGGAAATTTAATTACCATTTAATTCAACACAGTAAAAGTCTTCTTTACATATGTACGTCCACTGACACATTTAACACACCAAAGGAAAGACTGCTGAAAAATTATTGTTGTCTCTCTCTACATATATATATATATATATATTTACACAAAGCAAAATATACAGAAAAATACACATCATGACTTTACATCCTGACTGACATTGTCAATATCCTGCCAGTGTTACGCAGTTTCAACAATGAGCTTCCAGCAGCCCAGCGTGCCTCATGTCCACAGGGTTCTGCACAGAGCTGTTCTGCAAGCCTAGCATTTTGTTTAATTGCCAAACATCTCCTTAAAGATATAAACATGACACATATCACAGTGCTATCACACTAAAAAATTAAAAGTCCATTAATGCTTTAGAAATACAGCTTTTGACAAAGTCTCAAATCCTCATACTAAGAACTACTCTCAGACAGTCAAAGGCCATATCCAGGTGAGCACAGCCTGCTCCTTCAATTCACAGCCTGCAGGAACATGCCAGTCACCTTAGCATCAGTTGCTCCCCAAGAGAATCCCTAACTAATACAGATGAAAACCTTACACTAACTTCCTCTTGCATTGATGACTGCTGAGCATATACTGGCTGTGTGTTTGGTAATGTACAAATCACAGAATCCCTGCTGCTGAAAGCTTACTGACTAAACAAGACCAGCACGGTGCTGACAGGATGCACGTATATGTAAATATACTTGACTTATCAGCATGCTTCTTGGAAACATGTTAAATAGGAGTCTTCTTTCCTAACTTTATAATCTAACAATCAGGTATCTGGTCTAAGCTCATTTTTATAATCAATATAAAATCTCAGTGAATACACACACTCAAGTGTTTATAAAGTGCAGTAAAAATAAGGCAGAGAAAAACATGACACATGAAACTTTTTTTTTTTTTTTTGCTTTAAAATGCTCCTGACCAAGAGTTAGCACAAACCAAAACTTTCATTATGCTCTGTGGCACAGAGCAACTTTTTCTTGAGTATTCTTTTACTGCTGTATCTGGGGAGGAACAAAATGCGGCTGCAGGTATTGGCAAAAGGATAGACCTCATCTGGGTTTTCTGCTTGAGGATCTGCAATACAAAATGTAAAATATTCCAGTCCGTAGCCAGGGATTCGATCAGATCCTGACAAAAAAGCTGAAGGAATGAGAAAAACAAAAACAAGTTAACAAATTAAAAAAAAACACAAGATAATGTTATCAGAGGATGAAACTCATGGCGGTAAATTAGTGTAAAAATATGGCCATTTTCATAAGCAAATTATTTTGCTTTGTTGAATTTGTACCTAAATATAATAAAGTCTCTTGCTGATTCATAATAATTGTAAGTCCTCTTTTATTTTTACTTATATAGACTTTGTGGATGAGAAAGGCCAGGCTAGGTTTGACCTTCTATGTTTAAAAAGGATGAGCTAGCTTCTGCGATCCTTTGAGAAAGCTAAACCGCTTAAGTCAACATAGTCTGCTCACCCAAGTTGAGGCCTCTGACCAAGAACTGATAACCACAAAAGGGATAAAATAATTGCAAGGTTTGAGGCAGTCAGATGCACTCAGGCAAGCCTCAAGGGATGTGAGGAGGGTCAGAGCTGTGTCTGTGCATTTCTTTGTGTCACTTCTTTGTGGTTTTCACTAGAAAATGCAGCAGCAGAGGGAACACATCAAAAAGCTGTTTGGAACTATAGTATTTTCATGTGCAAGCATTTAAAATGTGTGCTGCAGGGGAGAGAAAAGGGCTATGAAAAGTTTAAAATGCCTTGCATATTACCAAGAAACATTTTCTTTTTTTCTTCTGGGAGTCTGTAAAACACAGTCCAAAAATTCCTGATGGTTCGATCTAACTTTTTATACTGTCTGTATGTCACATTCTGTCAAAGAGATAAAAACAAAATAGGCCAGTTAATCCTATTTCCATTTTGATTTAAAGCAACAATAGTTTATCTGATAAATTTTATAATGCTGTTCATAGATATTCAAATCCTCTTAACTTCTGGAATCTGCTTGTTCATTTGTTTTTCAAAGACTCATATATCCTTGAGCTATGACTTGATTTTAGTCCCCTATATTCTTGTACCTGATGCAGAATAAAAACAGACTCAAAACAATGACACAAATCCAAAAAAAAGAGAAAGTCCCTTGAGCTTCTGTTCTTCTGTTCATGACCCACGCACTCAATGAAAGAACACATCAGAAGGAGTTTATGCTCAGCAGATATAGCAGAAGTACACTGTGCTTGTATCCGATACCTTTTCCAGCAGATGCCAGTCAAATTCCGTGTGTCCCTGGAGAACAATCTGGAGTTCTGTGGGGTGAAACATCTTCCACTTTCTAGCTGGGCAGCCTCTTGAAAACCCTTGCATAAAGTCCTCAAATGGCTTCCGTATTGATTCATTGAACACATAATTCACATACAAGTCAACAAATTCTTTCCTGCAAATAAATTTTTAATCAAACAAGCCATGCAATAGGTGCTTTTTTAAAAGGAGAATTATAGAGAACTTTATTCCTTATTCCTTTATCCCGTATGATCTGCTCTACTGTAAAGACTCAGTCTTTACCAAAAGCAGTCATCACTGGCAGTTCTTTATTCATGGAATCAGCTGGGAGGATCATCACAAATAAAAGAGAATGCTGGCCAACATGGATTCATTTTGATAATACTCCTTGTACTTTGTGTGAACACTCCAGTGAATTCCTATCAGACACTTCACTATTAAGATGCAACCTAGCAGACATAAATGGTGTAAAGTCAGCAAAACTCCCACTGAATGCCCAAGAATTATCCTGAAATCAAAGTAAATATTTGCACAGCTACTAATCAGTACAGCTTCACTCTTCTTTCTTCTTGTAATGGGGATTTGTTTAGTGACAGTGTACTTGTACAAACAACTCGATGTAAATGTACTTCAAGCTTCCTAAACAGCCCTTTCCTGCATCCCTATGGGGTCCTCAGATCATCTCTGTAACTCAGGCCACAGAATTTCTCTCTGTACCCTGTGCTGAAGTTAATATTGACACACCTTATTGATAGATTACTCCTTCTCTGTTATATACAAGATACACTCCATATATAGAACTATGCAGGAAACATTTTTCCCGTAAAAAAAAACTTATAAAGGTGTACCTATAGCTGGATTTCCCAGACAAGTTATCTGTATTTCCCTGAAAGTACTGTTCAGGGGTATCTTATACATTTGTTAGAAATTTCCCTAATAAGGCCACGCATCTCTGTATATGCACATGCCAGGATGTCCAAGGATCCCCTTCTTGTCCACTGCTTACAAAAACTGCCAATGTCTGGCACATATGCATCACGTACAGCAAGAACCAAAAGCATACAACCTACTGGACCAAGACCAACAGCGCAATGCCAATGTTCAATATTTTATAAGAGTATATGGGGATGGGCAGATACGGTATTTCATACACTTGTAACAAGACAACAGAGTAAGAAAAAGAAAAATAAAACCAACCTGTTATCCTTAGTGACGGGAATGTTGGCACCATTTTTTTTAAGTTCAACAGTAACCATGGAATCTCCTTCTTCCATTATCTATGCAAATAAATAAAAACATATTGGATGCTACATCTATATATGACAGATACATATGTGCTACATCTACTATTCTTTCTTTCTGCAGGGCCTAACATAGCACTCTTACTAGTTTTGAGTTTACTGACAAGTTGTGTCATTTGCAGTGGGACACTGTCTTGCCTGAGTACATGCATAGCACGTCAGAATGGCACAATAGTGTCTTACTGTGAAGTCCATGTCCAGGCTCTCAAGGGTATGATCACATTCTTCATTCAAAATTCCCTGAAGATTCCTTTTGAAAAACAAGGGAAAAAAGAGAGAATAAACACGACCATTCAATGCTCTTTCAAATTCCACTGAAAAACATTTTCTGACAAGCAGTATTTAAATGCACATCTATAGAGAACACCTGTACTCACAGAGAACCTTCATATATGGCCCTAAACTGATCTATACACTTATGTCCTGCTGCTGTTGTGAGCTGAGGGCAAATGCCCTCTCTGCAAAGGATTCCAGGCAAGCTCACCCCCATGCCCTGTGGGGCTAACTTTACACAAAGTTCAGCAGCAAGTGGGCTTGGTCCACAGCCTTGTTCTCCCAGATATCATCTAGTGGGATGATCTGGGAGAACTGTTTTGGGGTGGTGCAGCACCTCTCAAAGTATTGCAGGCAACCTGATGTTTCAGTCTACTGTGGACATTTTTGCACCTCAAGGGAATCATTGGCTCATGGGAAGGAGCTCTCATCTTTTTGGCTGTTTTTAGCATTTGTGTGGAAAGCTGGGCATCAGGGGCCTAGAAGCTTTATGTTGGTGGCAGTAGCACCTCTCCCTGCTGTACCTGCCTGAAACTTTCCCAGCGTGTGGAAACTCTGCACACGGGCTCTCAGATCTGGCACAACTGCAGCATATGGCAATACTGTGCTTGTGCATAACAACACGGTGGAAATAAATAATTACCAAATCGGAGAAAAAACCCCAACATTAGCAACTGGGTGCTCAGTTATTCCATGTCTGAACCACAGCTCAAAATAACTGGAACTATATATTCACAGTGTGAACATGAGCTCACGTGGAGCAGAAATCTGACCCCCTCTAAGCCACAGGGCTTCACTTTTTATTTTGGCGATGCCAGCCTCTGTTTGAGAGCAAAATCCGTGCCCTGCACAAGGACCACTTTGGCAACCTGTAGGTTTTAGCAGCTCCGCAATGGCAAACATAGGTGCCACGGGTACCCCGAACACTGCCTTGGCGTCCTCGGTGCGCACCGCCAAGCTAGGAGACCCGCCTCGGCCGTAGCTTCCCCGCGAACGCCCGGGGCTCGCCCGGTCCGTACCGGCCTGTGGCTGGCAACAGCTCTTCCAGGTCCTCCAGGGCGGGCGGCAGGCCCAGCAGCTTTTTGTAGAGCGCCCTGGGGAAGGGGAAGGGTGCCATGCGCCCGTTGTACAGGGCCATGCCAAGCAGCGTCCCGATCCGGTAGAAGGTGTGCTCACCGCTCGGGGCCTGGTGGAAAGCAGACCCATCAGAGAAAGCCGTGACCTGCCTTTCCCGGGGAGCAAGCCCCCCACACCCCGGGCCGCGAGGCCCCTTACCTGGCTGGGGAACCACGCCAGGTCGGAGGCGACGCGGCGGAAGACGCCGGTGCTGGGTTGGCAGAGGGTCCTGGCGGCGACGCTGAAGAGCTCCTGCGCTTTCTGGTGTGCCCGCTCTCCAAGCGGCCGCTGAGGTGAGGTGAGGGGCGCGGGCCGCGCCGGGCCCTCCAGGGGCGGGAGAGCAGCTCCCGCCGCCAGCCCTTGGCCTGCTGCTGCCGCCCCGGGTCAGGCGGGAAGGGCTGCCAGAGGGCAAACCCAAGTTATTTACTCCTCCGTTTGTTTGTTTGTTTGTTTTCCCTGACTTGCCTGGCCAGGTACGAAGAAGCTACCAACGAGCTCATTAACGAGGAGCTGGGCATTGCATACCCTATCATCGACGGCATCCCGAACATGGTCCCAGAGGCTGCCAGGACCACTCAGAAGAAGCCCCCAGCTGAGGGCTCGAAGCAGCCCTGAGGACTCCCCAGGCACAGTGCTAAAGCGGGGCCGATGGCTGGGGGAGGCATGCTGCCCTCCCTGCCCACGCTCACTGTACTTGTTCCTCTCCTGTCCCTAGCAGGCTTGTTTTACTCAGCCAGCGTAGATGAAAGCTTCCCACAGGGCTGCACCAGTACAAGCAGTTTATGTTTCTACAGTCTCCTCCTTCCTATCACAATACCAGTTTATGTATTTTTCCACCTGTGGACCTGGATGGGGATTAAGCTTTTTAGGCACAACTAGTACGATGCATTTGCTAATCTCTGGGCTTCTCTAAAGCAACACGGTTTATTTAATCTCATCAGGTATTGCAGTTGATTTGAGAGAGTTCCCTTCTGGCACTAGTGACTGTTGTCATTTTCTTAGTAGTATCTGGAACTGTATAAAGTCCTCTGCAGCAGCCTATTTCTTAATTACTGCTAAGGCAGATAAAGAGGAGGAACAACAAGAAGCACTAATTCCTTCTAGTGTATCCTTTCAAGAGTGTTGTGCATTTGTAGTGGCACTAATGAAAATCCTCTAGGTGGTAATTGTTTTTGCGGAAGAACTGTACCCTGACTGAAATAACTGATACAGTGATACGAATCTCTCTTTGAATTACAAGGTTTGGTTTTGTTTTGAACTGATAGGTGTATTGAAATGTATTTGTCTCACTGTCAGAATGTAAAATAAATTAGGCTCATGTTTAGTAACAAAACTTGAGTTAAATGAAGACATTTACTTGAACGATACCCATGTCTGTATGTCCAGTAGCTGCTTGCTTGCTGTGGGGAAATGAGAGCACTCCAGAAAAGATGTACTTTAGTATTTGGGGATTTTGTTAGGGTGGCCTCCAACATATTCCAGTGTCTGCTTAGGAGAGATGTATGTCCCTGTACTATTTGTTAAATGTGTCTTGGTGCCCAAGTTTGATAGGCAGGCTGGGTCATCTTCATTAAAGAGGCATCTTCTGACAGGTTAGTGGTAAAACAACAACAGAGTCCAGGATTTGGTAGCCAAGTTGGCAGCTACAGATGCTGTTTAAGTATGCAGAGTATCTTTCTGCTTAGCACTATCATCACTAGACAGGAAACAGCAGATACTCTTGCTAAATACTTCAACCTTTCCTGTTTTCATTTACAGAAACACTAGAGAATGGAGTGACAGACCACTATGAGGGTGTCATGTGCAAAGAATTGTGTTCTCGGTATTGACTGACAAAATGTCTTCACAGGACACAGCTACCAAGGGGGCAGGTTAATGCTATGATAACCTATTATAAGGGTTTCTTTGTTATGTTTTGCTACTGGGTGGTGTATATCTGCTACACAAACACATGAATGTCCTTTACGTGCTAAAAAATTCAGAAATGCAGCACCAAGTAGTAAATACTGCAGACCTGAGTGTCTCTTGGTGGGATACTAACAATGCAGTCAAATAAATCTGGCTGCTGCTGGGCAAATAATGCTGTCATGCACAGTGTGAAAGGCAGTGCCTGCAAGAGGTGTATTTGAAACCTGACTCCAGCTACGTGCAGCTGTTTGTTGGGACTCCCTGTACAATCAGTGGAGAGACTCCAGATCTAGAGCACAGTACAGAGCACAAGTTGTAAACAAATGTAGCTTTCAGCTGATGTAGTGAGGGAGGGGGAAGGAGAAGTAGCTCTAGGAGTCATTGTGACTCTTCTCCTAAGTGTACAGGAAGGAAAACCTTTGACAGCTCTGGTTGGTAAGAAGGCTCACTTGAAAAGAACCAGAACTGGGTACTAGGGCACTGAGGTTGGTGGTTCCTGCTGTACCAGTGTGGTGCTAGACTCTGATGACCCTTGTGTTAGTGACCAATACGGCACATGGTCCCCAAGCTGAGCTCCGCTCTGGCCAGGTGCCCTGTTCCTACATCACTCATCTTCTGCAGGACTGGGCTAGCATTGTAATACCCCAAAAAAATACAGCTGTCAGAACCTTTGGGTTTGTGTGGAAACCACAGACTAAAGCCACATGGAGACAGCAGCATTATAATCAGCTTTTCATCTCTTGCTGGCACTATCCTTCCTTTCCCTTCAGGCAGCATCTCCGTGAAATAAACGTCTTCTGTGGCTGTGTCACTTGCTGGCCTCTTAAGGCTGGCTCCCCAGTCACCAGGTTTTTCACCTATAGCAAACTAGTCTAGAGTCTTTAAAGCCAGTCTAGCAGTCATAGTAATGGACTTTGCCAATTACCAGTTTCCTGAGCAACTCTATTACATTACCCTAAAGCAACTTTCACAGTAAATAGCACTGCCACTTGCATTTAACTTATGCCAACAAAGCTTGATGGCTACCTGGAGTAAGAATGTAAGATACTGCCCTCCAGATTTACTCTACAACCCCTGTGGAACATGTTTTATAAGAATTTGATAACTAGCTGTTTTGTTGTATGCTCAGTGAACACTGAAACCCTTCTACCAATACTTCAGTAACACTGAAAACCAAAGAGCAATGCAGCAATATATTCAGAGCTAACAAATACTACAATTTGGTTTCTTACCTTTAAGATCTTCTTGAAATGCTCAGTTGATGCGATATTTAAATGGGTCCATATGTCTTGCAGAAGGTACTGTCTTCTGACTGGAAAAATCCAGTGTTCCGGCTCCATCACTATGAAGGCTATCTGAAGATTGAAGTAACAGTATGTTAGAAGTGTATTTTTCTCTTCTGAATTGTAAAAAAATTTACAAAAACTTACCTCACTAAAGGGGCTGGATAGAGCGTTACGTTCTGTATTATGAATGGCAATCTTGTCGTGCATGTCAAAGATGCATGGATATTTTGTCAGCTTCCACAGGGCCATCTGAAGTGACAAGGAAGAAAGAAAAAGATGTGTTGATTTTCTCTTGTAAAATTAGAGTTCAGGGGTACATGTGCAGACTGAACTGCCAGTCTGTACCCTGGCAAAGTCCTGTGTCTCTGAAACATGCCCTTCTTGCGTACAAGAATGCTACACCAACAGAGGCACACTTTCTAAAAGCAGCTTCTAAACACTTCTGTGAGTGGGAAATCCTGACAGAGAGGCATCTGAACTGTCTGTGCAGGCAGACACTTGTGTTACAGTGCCCCAAGAATAAAACACAGGGCGAGTGATTTTAATAGCATCTTCCATAAATCAGCTAAACCAAAACACATAGTAAAAATGTCCTGGATACCCATGTTATGGTACACTGTTGTTAAAAACTGTTGGGTTTATTATCTGTAATACCAAAAGTAGATGTTGGTATACAAAATAATCTAATTCAAAGTGTTACACCTCCAGTGTGGTAAGTAAGCAACTTCAGGTAAAGTCCTATTTGGCTTTTGATTCTATACTGCTTCTCAAACCTCCTCCTCCTCTGCTCTGTTAATTGGTACAAAATTGGTACATCAGCAAATGAAAGCTTATGAAACAATTAGGCAGTTGTCCTGCTAATTCCAGCCAAGTTGCCAGATAGGCAAAAAATGTGGTTAAGGAAGCCCCTACTATCTACATTTCCATTTCACAGAATCATTCAGCTTGGAAAAGACTGTTGGGATTAATGAGTCCAACCATCATCCCTACTCTACAAAGTTCTTGACACCATATCCCCCAACATCTCATCTAAACGACTCTTAAACAACCTCGGGCTGCTTCCTGTGACACTGATTGCATTTGGTAGCTAATTTTCACTCCTTTATGTCCTCAAGAAATCAACCATTTCACAGATTATGTTTTATTACCATGGCTTTTTTTTTAGATGTAAGTAAATAGAAATGCTTAGTAGGATTTCTCCGCAAAAGTTTAGAGAACTCACAATATTTCTGTTAATCAAACATAATAAAATCCAGAGTAACAAGAAGTATAGCAACCATCCCTTACGGTGCTATTTCACACTTGATCACCAGTTCAAAGCAAGTATCACTGCTTAAGATACTGGAGGACAGCTCCAACTCTTAGAACCAGGGGTCATCATCTCAGAAAAGGCACTATTGTAGCTGCCAAAATACCGGGATGGTAAATGGCTTGCATAATTTAGAACAGATGGAGGGCTAGGGAAAATGCATTGTCTTTGAGATGGACTAGGCTAGAGTCTAGAGCTGACTTTCATATATATCAACTCATTTAAATAAAACAGAAAAAAAAATCCTGCTTCGCACTGCTGGTAAGATTTTATACTTACTTCTTTTACATTAAAGATGAAACACAATGCTATAATCGCTTTCACTTGAGGCACGTAGAAGTTGTTTTCTTGTACTCTGAAACCAGTTCTGGAGTTCACCTGTATTGATATATATGATATGAAAAAGGGTGTCAGCAGATCTAGTGAGCTATGCATCTGTGTGGCAGGACAGGACTAAGGAGTATCAGGGCTTTCTGCAGAAAGTGCTCTGAGATTCTGCACAGAAGCGGAAGGGTAGAAGTGCTATGAGTAGCACAGCACTCAACTGTGAGAAGTCTCAGAAAACCATGTATAAACTAGCAGCAGAGTAATTTTCATTTACAATGAAGAGCCCTTAACAGGACTCCATCAGGAAAGGTATGTTTCACTTTGCAGGACAATCTGATATTCCCTATTCACATTCATAATTGTTGTCTGGCAAAGATATGATTTCTGGGGACACAGTGAACATGTAAAGCTCCAAATGATGGAACCACTTATGGAGGAGTAGGCTTGTTGCACTTTTCAGTTTATTTTTCTGGATGAAACAGATTCAAGAGTCTAAACTTCGAGGCCTAAACCTGCATTCTCAGCCAAAAGGATATTAAATTCTGAGCAAAATTTAATGGCTCACTCTGATTCATAGGAAGTGCATGCTTGAGCTCTTGACTTTCTTGAAACTTGAACATCTCAGAATGAGAAAGGATGGTTGTCAAGAAGAATACCTATTGCCCCCTTTTTTTCTGCCGTTTGTATGCAGCTAAAGGTGCTTTAATTCTATTGTCCCAGAAAATTTCTTGGGTAATGGGCTCTTAAAGCATCACACAGTCACGACATGCCAAGCAGGTGGGTTGTCTCTTAAATTATTAACTTGAGCAGTTGCTGGGGTGAGGGATCTCACCAGCAGAAAGGGGAATGAGCATGCTACACAGTGGATACCACATCAGTAGCTCTGTACACATCAGTGCATGCACTCCTCACACCACTGAAAGCATCCCTCCCCCTGCCAGGGGCTGTGACGTGCTTCAGCTCTGCACTTCTCTAGAGGGTCAGACAGGCACAAGTCAAGAGCAGGATTCCTCCAAAGCTATGCTGGTGTAGAGCCAATGAGATTCCCGAAGCAATGTCAAATGACAAGGTCCCATGTTCCCTTTTAAGAGGGAAACCCAGAGAGAGAATTCAACAAGTAAAAAGGATTAAAATACTCATACTGATACATCCTATCTCTTCAGGATCCAAACACTTTCTCACCTGGTAAAGAATCTGCAGTATTTGCAGAGTCACTGTTTCATGTGGGTGCAGGTGGAAGAGGTTTCTTTGGCTGTTTCTGACTTCTATGTGAAATTGAAAGAGGCTTTTCTGGGAAACCCTCTGATACAGAGTGACCAGCTTCTTGAAGAAGGATATTTCTAGATTTGACCACAGGCATTCTGTAAACAAAACAGCTAGTGAAGTATCCATCGCAGGTAACATGCAAATAACTTCAATTCCTGGATGAAGCTGCATTTTCTCTTTTTTATCAAATGAATTAAAGCCAAAAAACGCTTAATTTTGCAGTACACAAAATAGGAAACCTCAAACTAAGAATTCTGTTTTTCTTGTGTCTTGCTGCATAGTCCTCATGTTTCTACTTCTACTGAAAGTACTTTTTTCAGGCTGAATTCTAGAACAAATTACATCAGTGATAATAACTCTTGCTCTGCAGCTGAAAACGACCAAGTATTTAAATCATTCAGTTCTATCATCACAAAATACTACCAAGAGTTTGCAGGTCCTTTGGCTGGAGCTGTGTGATGGCTTGTGCTAGAAGCCTGAGAGAATGGGAAGAGCTCTTATCCTCTCCCTGCAGAAGGAAAGGCAAGATCAAGTAGACTCTGAAATTTTCAGGAGAGATGGGAGAGGAAGACAATGATGGCAGTAACTTCTCAATCTCCTTTTGCACCTTCAGAGGGAAAAAAAAAAAAAAAAAAAAAAGAAGGGTAAAAAATGCAATTATATTTTGCCAAAATAATCTATGAATTAGGTTGGCATGAAATTCCCAAGTTTCATGCACAAATCCAGAGCTCCTCAGTATCTGTGTAGTGAGAATCCTTATATCATCCTTACCTCTTGGAAGACTTCTGGCTTCTTGCTGATCTTCTCATAAAAATGTTGCACTTTGGCTATGTCTACACCCGAGAATTCTTTGGAAGTTTTGAAATGTTTGTCTCTATCACAAAGGAAAAAAAAAAGAACACCAAATGATGTGAGAAGCTGGTTTTTGTTACTGACTGAAGAATAGTGAAGCATCTTAACATCAGAAAATACTTGGGAAGTTCAGCCCCAGCTCCAGTTTGTATAATTTCATCTATTCTAAGAAGATATTCTCGCTGTGGTGTGATCTGATTCTGTCCTTTCTGTCTTGTGTGGCTGTGCACTGTTAATGGTAGGCTTCCTGTATTTCACCCTAAAACAACTTGCACAGTGCCGGGAGGAGCTATTATGGATCTTTTGGGAGCTGTAGTAGTGCATAAAGGGATTATCATCCTCTGTCAAATGTCACTATAGGATAATCTGCTATAATGTGAGCTATTATAGCAAATTTCAATGGGACTGGGGGGATAAAAAATTTAATTTTAGCTTGGGCTTTGAAAAATACAGACTTGCTTCTTGCAAATTCAGATACAACTTATCTCTACATATGTGGCCTAAAATAACACTTTCTGGTCAGTTTACAAGCAGCCAATATATTCTGTCTGAGTCAGCGTACACTACCTTTTCTCCAGAAAGCTTCCGTTGATGCAAGCCTCAGATGAAAAGATCCACCTGATATTCCTGATAGTAAAAAACAAACCAATGTCAATCCTTTCAGCATGAGTAGCAACTTCAGGTTTTTAATTCTGAAAGAACAAAAACCATGTGTACAAGTGTGTTTGCACCTGACCAAGTAAAACTTTTCTTAGCACTACTTTATTGAGAGCATTGCAGAAGACATTGCATTCGAGGAGTTAGTGATCTTTGGCAAGCCACCTCTGCTTGTGTGAGGGAACCTGCTCAAGCATCCCATACCAGCATGGGCTGCATGTTGGTGGGTGTTATGATGGAGATAACTTCTTCAGACAGGTTGGGACATTACCTGCTTGTTATGCAAAATAAAAGGCACTGATGCATGGGAGGGAGGAGGAACCCCTCCACAGATGGAGGATCTTTGTAGCATGCTGAGGGAAAATCCATCAGGGTATCCATTTGCTGCTGCACAAAAGCTAGGTTCCCAGTGTCTGAAGGGATGTTAGACTTACTCACTACCTGTATTCCTGGTTCTATTCTTATTAAAGCAGCTGTTTTATCAAGCAATTTGCTGTCAGGAACTTCCTGTTGAGATCTGGAAAGAAAACTCTCTCTCTCACCCTCTCAACAACCACTTTCCAAATGATCCAAACCATACTAAAAGTGGCCAGGGAAACATTTAGATCAAAATTAACCAAGATTTTTAAATGCTCAAAATCAGCAGCTAGCCAAAGAAAATAACCTTCCATGTAAGATCTGAAAAAAGACTACATACTCATAATTTTCAGCCATAAGTGTAAGGCTTCCCACAGTAGTTACTTAGTGCTTTTGAAACTGGGCAACTAAAGAAGGGATCACTAATTTTTAAATGCTGACACACACAAAGCATTCTAGTTTGGGTACTCTGGATTATGGTTTTTGCACAAGGCCTCAGTCTGCAGACCAAATCTTTCACTGATTTAACTTGTTGGCTCTTCATCATCTTAACAGTCATTCTGTGCAAGAGGAGGAGGACAAACCTCCAAAGCCAGCCAGTATATCTGCTCTGTTCCTGCAAAAGGGTTATCAAAGGGCTGTTGCTTATCGACACCTCTTTTTCCTGTGCAAAACCTAAGTAAGAAGTGCTGGTACAAGATTCTGTCTCTGCTAAATTCTTGAACATCAGCCCCTACAATAGTGTCCAAAGAATAATTTTTAGAGAAAATCATGTATCGGGGGGAAAAAAAAAAACAGCAAGTTTCTTCTGACTTACTTTTTTATACTCTTCCAGTGTTGCGAACTGCAATTAGAAATCCATGTGTCCACATCTTTATCCTTCAGAGTGGCAATTCCATTCAAACAGGAATTCTGTGTGAAATCATTAAAATACTGATGAGGTTACAGGTCTAGCAGATGGGATTCTTTTTTTCAAGCCAATCATTACAAAAACATTTCAGCCTAAGTGTGAACAAATCAATGGTCATCCAGCATGATCCAGATGCATTAACCAGAGAACAGATATATATATAACTGCGCTACAAGTTAGTTTATGTGTAAACATGGAAAGAACCTCAAGAGACGTATATGAACTTGGTGCAGTAAGAGCAGGATGGAAAATCTAAATGTTTCCAGTAGTAATGTGAACAATGGTAAAATTATAAGCCATGATCAAATATGCACATACCTCATTGTTCTTGCAGAGGACAATACTTTGGTTTCCTCCTGCAATAATTTCAATCGCCTCTTGTGGCATGTCATTTTCTGTGAAAGAATAAAAATATTTTCAAAGGAACATTTGAAGAGACAGTCATTATCTTCAGAGAGTCCAGTGCACAGATACAGAACAGTAAAAAAATCCATCCGGTAGTAGCTGTCTGTCTAAAAGTTGTTTCTATGTGGCCATTACCCATGATGATAAATCAAGCAGCAAAGGAATTATCCATTGCTAGAATCTGTTGGGATGATCAAGCAAGCATGAGACATGTTAGCCTCTCAGTGTAAACATGAAATTAAGAAAGCAAGAATCTCCCTAGAAGAAAATACAGATTGTACACATCTGCAATGACTAATTACCCTGACAGGATCTTCCAGTATTCACTGGTGAATTGATGGGAATTGGTATCAACTGATGAGGCTTTCTCTCATCTCCCAGCGGTCCTTCTTCCTTAGAACCAAATGAATAGATTTTGTCCAAGGAGGGAACATAGACCAGGGTGTGCTGTCTGTTCAGAAAAAGAAGAATGGTCATAGCAAGCTAATACCACTGAGCTAGTCAGAATAAAATCTACAGATATGTTTTCAGGATGAATAGCTGAGGCTTGTCTTTAAAAGTCCTGACAGTTCAGCTAAAGAATCCCTTTAACCAAAGTCCTGGGACTCTTCCTTACATAAACATTCAGCAATAAAGAAATATATGGACTCAAATTTCCTATATTATCCTCTAATGTTTGTGATTTATCCTGGTTCCACATACAGAAATAAAGTGTTATGCCTTGCTAGCTTCATGCCCTTCCATTTTTTCAAGCACAGTTTCTATGCTGCTGAGCCTGATACAAAGCCCAGGAGAGTTGACAGGAGACTTTTTTCTGGCTCAGTTCCAGAAACTGGGTAATTATACCACTGTTCAGTTCTTTCCAAGGACCCACAAGTTTGTCAAAGTGGATGGGAACTCTGTGACTCTCCGGATGCAGGCTTTTAACAGTCTTTTGCCCTTTGGAACCCAATACACCCTGCATTTCTTAAAAGAGCAAAAACTAAGGGCATCTGGTATCTTTCGCAGCCCTCTGCTTGGCATGGGCTGAGGGTTCTGCTTTCACAGGGGCTGTGGCAGGAGGGTGCCTTTCACATGAGGAATGGGCAATATTCTGACACTGCTGACCTACTGGGATACAGGGATTTGAACATCTTGGTGACTCCCCTCACTACTGTTCTTCACTGATTCCCCTAAGACCTTGACCTTAGAAGGCACTTTATTTGTACTTTCCCACCTGCCACAGGCAACCTGAGAAGCTCTTGCTCCCCACAGCTCAGCTACCACACGAGGCATGAGTTCATTCCGGGTGGAGTTGTGACCGAGCTGGCCAGCCCCTCCTGCTCCAAAGGTGCACACCAACCCCTCCTGGAAGATGAAGAAGTAAACAACAGGACCACTGCGTTATTAATGGCATTCAAATGGTCACCACCAAGAGTGAGCAAGCAAGACACGTTATATGAGACTCTACTTAAAAGAGTTCCCTGATTCAAACACAGGTAGAGTTCACTTCTCATCAAACATAATCTTACGCTGCAATGTCCAAATCATTTAACTCCTGCAAAAAAAGCAGTTTAACTCCTGAGAATAACTCTCTGTTGTTTAAGAATTTTACTTGTATGAGTGAACCCTGCTGAATTAGCTATTGTTCACATTTTCTGAAGCCCCCAATATACTACCAAAAAAAAATTTTTTTTCAAAAATACTGAGAGTTGAACTGCACCTCTTTGCCCCAGGATTCCCATTCACCACCTCCCTGCAAAAGTCTGCATGCAGGTGATGGGAATCTGAGAAGAGGCCGGTTTCCCCAATACCTTAGTTAACATCCCTTGGGGATTGTCTTTAGACTCGGATGGAAGCAGGCATTGCCATCCCAATTTCTCCGTGTGCTGACTTTTAGTGGCATATCTTTTCTCACAGGGTGAGGTCTCAGATGCTGACTTTCCACTTCAGACTCACCTTGGAGAGAACTGCAGTGTGATCTGACCCGCATGAGATAAACACAGTCTTCCAGTGCTCTAACGCTCTAATGTATGATGGGGAGCTCCTGTCTGGAAAGAAGATGGTACTGCTAAAGTGAAAGAGTAGAGGGGGGAGGGTCTCACACAAAGAAAGATTTCTAAAATAGGGGGGGTTAGCACCTTTGAGTCTCCTCTTACAGCAGTTCATGCATTTACAACTTGATTTTGTGTTGTTTCCTACCCTCCACCATAAACATACTTTTTCTCATAATGTTTTTTTTCATAGTATTTTCATTTACATTCAATCTGAAACAAAACACAGCACTTTGACATCTGCTTGCCAAAAGGTATTTGGCTTCAAAAATATCTCTCAAGGGTGTGGACTCATTCAGACCCTGCTGACTTCAGATTCTGTCTGGCTAATTCTTCTCTCACATTGTGTTTACAGAGAACTAAAGAAGGCAAAGAGGTATAAAATTAATTTATTTCATTCAAGGCTGCCTGGAGAGAGAATGGGACAGGAAAGAGACCTCTGAGACACACAGTTTTAAGAGCCCTTGCTATCCAGTTGGCTCCATAAAATGACTGGAAGTTCTCTGTAGAAACACAACCCCTAAATCGCTTGTCCCTGCATGCCCTTTCTGGTCAGGATACAATAGCTCAGAAACAAATAACTTATCCAGGTATACCTTCTTCAAAAGACTTTATTGTCCACTGCTGTTCCAAAAGGGCTTGACAGTCCAGAGCCACTCCCATGTCTGCATTGACCAGGAAAACACCTTCCTACTGCTCTACTCCCAAACTGCTGTCCTTCCTTACCTTCTGTGTCTCCGAGTCCCAGCTGCCCAAAATTGTTCCTTCCCCAGGAGTACACAGCTCCAGAGAGTGACACGGCAACACTGTGAGCTCCTCCAGCAGCAATTTGAGCTAGTGGGATGCCCTTCAGTCTTTCCACCAACTGCGGTTGGGGGATGAGCGTGGTTTGGCTCCCCACTCCAAGCTGTCCATGGGCGTTCTGGCCCCAGGTGAAGAGCTCACCTCCTTCACACACAGAACAAAAGGAAACAGCTCAGCCTCACTGCCTCCCTTGAGTCTTTGGGAGTGGGAGTGAAAATTGTGCTGCTTTGAGGGATCTAGCTGCAAGGTGAGACCACCATCTGTGGCCAAATCTCCCTGTTTGCTTCTGACCCCTCTGGGGCAGCCCCATGATGCCCATGTGACTCTGCACAGCAGGAATAAAACCAGGGTGTTTCCACCCCTAAAGCCACACCTGCAAGAAGTTCCCAACCAGAGAAGTGCTCCCAACTTAAGACTGAGCAGGTCTGGTGACAACAGAGTGGGATGACCACATCTGCTCTCCACAGCACACCTTTGTGGAGGGGTAGCGGTCAGGAGCTGGAGAGTGACAGAGCTGCATGTCCCTGGGTGCTGGGAGGAAAGGGCAGTGCTGGCAGCCAGCGCACTTTGTGTCCCCCATCCTTTGCCAACTAGGTGTCACCAGCTACTGGGAGTCGTTCAAACACTCCCTTCCAAGCGCAAGTGTACCACAATGTGACTCCCATTTGGAGGAGAAGCGTGCTTTGAAAGAGGCTACCTCTGGACAGTGCCATGGCGTGCTGGTCCCCACATGCTATTTGAACAATATCTTGGTTTCTTAGTTCTTTCACCAGCCTAAAAAAATAATGAAAAAAAAAAAAAAACCCAAATCAAAACAGGTAGATGCTGTGCCATGAGACAAAGTAAAGAAAGAAGATCCTCTGCTCGCCAAGTCCTAGCATGCTTAGCAGGAATTACATGGAAAAATATAGGTGACCTGTAAGTTGATTCACCCTGCTCTTACGCTAGCCTACTGCAGCTGGGATAACTGATTTGATTGTGGTTTGCACCATGGGAAGCTGGGAGAGATTCAGGCTCAGCCCTAGGCAAGCTAACAGAAAACCCCACAGCAAACTGCTGTGCCATTTTTAGATGAGGATTACCCTCTGTCCTGGTTTTGGCTGGGGTAGAGTTAATACTCTTCCTAGTAGCCAGTACAGTGCTGTGTTTTGCATTCATTGTGAGAATAATGTCACTAACACACTGATGTTTTAGTGCTTGCTAAGTAGTGCTTATCCTAAGTTAAGGATTTTTCAGTTTCCCATGCACTGCCAGCGAGCAGGTGCACAAGAAGCTGGGAGGGAGCATGGCCAGCAGAGCTGACCTGAACTAGCAAAGGGATATTCCATACCATAGAACATCCTGCCCAGTATATGAACTGGGGGGAACTGGCCAGGAGGGGAAGATCGCTGCTCAGGCATTGGTCAGCTGGGGGTAACTGCACTGTCTTCTCTTGGGTTTTATTTCTCTTTCTCGTTTTTTATTATATTCCTTTTCATTACTATTATTATTATTATTATTATTATTATTATTATTATTATTATCATTATATTTTTAGGTTACTTATTAAACCATTCTTGTCTCACTCCACAAGTTTTACTTTTTTTCCGATTCTTCTCCCCATCCCACTGGGAGCGGAGGGGGTGGGGGTGGGGGGTGAGCAAGCAGCTGTATGGTGCTCAGTTGCTGGCTGTGGTTAAATCACAACCTCACAGCTTAATCAGAAGGTGGCAAGGTCTGGGTGTGCTTGGGTCTTTCAACCCCAGTTCTCCCAAGCCACGTGTGGTTTGCAAGTCATCCGCATTACTCTGGTATGTGCTACCGATCCTTACTAAATTTAAGAAACCTGTCCCATGCAGCTCAGATCTTGGTATCATCCTCAGAATCAGTGCAATTCTTGCTGGCTTGAAAAAGAAGATAAAGTTTTGGGTACTAGGAATGTATGTGTGCCAGTTCCCTCTCTATAACAGGAACACACCTCAGTCTCTTGGAAAAGTGAGACACATTTTCTAACCGTTACCATCCATACCTCCACCCTGTGAAAGCTTCTTACCTTGTCTTAGAGCAGTCAGCTGAAGCTGTAGCCCAGTGTTCAGAAAGCTTTCCATCAGGGGAGAGAGTGAGCATATGTGTTGCATCATGGTTTGAGCACTGCAACTTCTCATTCCTCTGTGACTGTGTGTGCTCTGCAAAACAAATACAGGCAAGCACGGCGGTCATGCCGAGGCAGCGGGCATCTTAGCCATCTTGGTGCCCTCCCCAAGATATCCATGTGCTACTGCTTCCACCAAGAGCTTCTGCTCCTCAGTGTAAAGTGAGACAAGTATGTATGATTTATTTTCTCAGGCCCCTTGGGGTTTCTGTGTCCTACCCACTGCTTGGTTTCATGCCAGGCGACTCTCCTGGCAATCACTAAAAGACAATTCTCTATCTTTTAGGCTGCAATGCCACCAGCTCCCAAGGCAATCAGCAAAAGCACACTATCACTTTTGCACAGCTGTGGGGTATCACAGGGAGATAAAGCACTTCCCGAGGTATCTCACTGCCCCCGATTTGTCACAGCCTTGGTGATGGGACGCCTTGAAGTCAAACGTTTCACAAGGCACTGGAGAAGCAATGGTGGAAAATGCACACCTTGCCTATTGACAGCAGAACGATGTCCCTTCCTGCCTACAGCTGAGGGGCTGCAGGTGATGTCCTGGCCCTGAGGCACCACATCTACGCAGTGTCCTGCGTGTGGCCCTACCGCAGCGCAAGTGTCTGAGCGCCAGGACGGCCAAGCGTGCAAGGTGCTCACAGCAAAGCCTTCCCTGACAGCCCCGGGGACTCGCTGTCCGCCCTTCCCACGCCTCCCCAGCTTAACCCCAACGCGTAACCAGACAAGGAAATTCACGTCGTGCTCTCCCTCCTCCCAGCCTCCCCCGACGGCCGCGCACCGGGACGCGTTTACGCCGCTCATACAGAGGTTCGCCCCCCGCCGAGAGCCCCGGCAGGGCGCTCACCGCCCTCCCCGGCCGCTCCGCTCCCGCCGGTCT